TGCAGGACTTCTGTGGCCTGTTTCCAGTCTTTCGCTTGCAAGAAGTTGACTTGAACATGTTGAGCTCTGCGGCAGCTGGCCTTAGGGACGATGGACGAACTCGTTCTGGTAAATACTACCTTGACTTCTGTTGTGTTTCCTCTTGTAACCCCGAGTATGGTCTTATAGACGTGCTCAATTCTCCTTCTGTTGACTAGGATGCTTACTCTTAATTTTCTTTCTTTAGTTTAGTTTTAGTGTTCACAATGGTAACCATGCTTAAGGTAGACTGTAAAATATTCGGCTCTTTTTTTCTTAAGTCTCCTGTCCTCGAACGTAAGGTCCAGAGCAGAGGCCAAAACGGTGAGTGAGACTGGGGAGAGACACAGAGAGGTTGATTACCTTCACTCGCTTTGGGCACGTTAAGCTTGCGCATGAATCGTTCTTAGGATCAACGCTTTCGGCTCGTCACGCCAAGCCAAATAGACCGACTGTTTTATAGTCTATGCCCAGGGAATTGCCCACCTGGATAAAGTGTGGTGCCCTTGGGCGGGAGTGAAATAAATGGACGGTTTGAAGGGTGGACAGAAACTAGAAGTTACATTATTAAATGCATATATAAAAACAGTTAGAAGTTATTACTATTTGACTCTCAAGTTTTAAAAGAAAATTAATTGTTACAGAACTCACCGTCGTCTTATTCTTTGTGTGCCCTTGAAAAACTTGCTGAACCCCACTGGCAATCTTGGAATTTTGTCATTCATATATGACTCGCACGGTGGTCACTATCACCATTACTATTCATTCGAGTGCTTTTAAATATGTTCATGCCTTAATATCATTTTTATTCCTCTTTTGTGTCCACAGCAAGAAAGATCGACGTTAGCAACTTACCTTTCTGTGATCAAAATATTGGTCCAGGAAGAAAATGCAATCCAGAAACGTGGCTCTATAGTTTTGAGATCCGTCAACGTCACTGCACTTGGTGGGTGAGAAATTGCAAGTTCAACACGCAATCTAGTTTAGTATGCGAGGAATATGAGCACTTGTTCAATAGCATGATTTGCTACACAAATCGTTGTCCTTAAATGAATTGGAATGTCCTATCGTGAGCGAAATAGTTCAAAATTGGATGCACATGGAGAAATAAAATACAGCTTTGAAAACTAAACTTGTTATTTTGTTAAAACTAATTTGTGGAGATTAAGGAAAAGCATCATTGTTTCTTAGGATTTTTTATCCCTTAAACGTATTCAGAACAACAAACAAAGCGGTAGTGGCAAGTTTTCCTTGAGAAATGAATTCTTGGTCACCCCAGCTGACAAATCTATCTGCTTCTCCCACATAAAGGAACCAAAAGGTGGAAAAAAAGAAAAAAAAAACCAGTAAAAAACTGCTTGATAACGCGGCGCCGGCATTAATTTAAGGACGTTCGCGTGAAAATTTTACAACATTAATTATTTTCCTGAGACTTTTACCACTGTAAGATGATGAATTTTTTTATGTCAGAAATATAAAAAAAATGGGGGGTCACCGACTTTGTTTTGGAGAGAACAGGCCCGGAAGAACACCCTAAATCTGAAAAAATAGGGCTTCGTTAGCGAAGTGTGGCCAAAGTGTCTTTAAGCCCAAAAATATTGCTTGCAATTGGATCTTTGAAGTGAAATGTTCCCTGCCAAATATTGTTTAAGTGGACCAATTAAGTGAATTTAGGCAACTGGTGAGGTTTCTTAAAGAACAGGTTTGCATTTAGCGACCATAGTTCCAAGCGTCTTGTAGCCGCAAGATGGCAGGATTCGATGTCCCGTGGACAGAAATCTTGAATTTTTTTCTAACCTCGCACATTGATTTTTTGGACAATGTGGAGATAATCGTAAATAAAATCTGTTTCTTGAAAGAAATAGATTTTCGGGGGCACCGAACGTCCAAGATCGTTAAATCCAGGCAAAGCTATAGCAATGGCCACCTGCATTATCATTGTTCGTTTTATCAATTAGCGCGCGCTCTCATGCATGACGTGGCGTGTGAATTTGCGTGCGCAGTAAGGATGCGTAGAAACAAGTAGCGTAAAAGTCCTTAATAGACCTTTTTCGTTTGGGCCGTTCGTTGTCCCATTACAGACCACGTGATATTCTCTAGAGAATTGTTCTTTTATCCACCTAAGAATTATTTATTCATATGCATATGACTATTTGAAAATTTGAAAGGAAGAATTCTCAGTAGAATCATCACATGGTCTGAAATGGGGCAACAAACCGCCCAGTCGAAAAAGCTCTATTCTCCTGAAATAAAACTGCACATAGATTTTTTTTCAAACTTTGTCCAATCAATATTTATCATATGAGAACTTAAATTATCATAGTATATAGATTTAGGCCAGCCTACAAGCGTAGCTCCTGAGCCGGGTTGTTCAGAGCCAAATAACCCAGGAAAAGGTAAAATTTCGATTTGAGTTTTGTAACTTTGCGTTGAGGTTTTCTGTATATTGTTTGGCCTTCTGTTTTGAGTTTTAATAATCACAATACACACAAAACAAAGCAGCAAAAAACATTTGCATAGAAGAAAAAGTTATTATTTGGTTAACTTTTAATCTTGGGTTTGTACCCTAAACCGTGAATTTGTACCCTAACACACTGTAGACGTCTTTGACTTAGGCACAAGAGTTTTAAATACGTCTTTCCTTGAGGACGAATTTTTTTTATTGAGCTCTTCATTCCGTGGATCCCCGAACTCAAACTTCCTTTGCCTTGTCCCTATACCCGGTAGGATCTTGAAAATAGTACCGGCCAGAGAGGCAGCTTGTGTATGAGGTAATTGGACTTAAGTCCATGCACAGTTATCTTTGTAGAATAGTTTGATACGTTGTTTTTTAGCTTTATACTACACTAGAGGGTCGTGAAGGGGGGTACCAAATCCCAGTTCCCAGCCCAAATTTTTGCCAAATCCCGGTTCCTAGCTTAAATTTGGTCTAAATCTCAGTTACCAAATCTAAAATCCTATTCCCAGTAATTGTTTGCAAACTAATGTGAATAATTAATTAAAAGCGTGGACTGACGTCGTTTGGATTCACATACCTTCACCTGGACTGAAGAAAATCTCTCATTCTTCTGGTGAGCAGTCTTTGTCTTCCAACCCTT